GACTATATTTCTATAAAATTGTAATACACATTCAAAATAGTCACATTCAAAATAGAAGTCACACACATTCGTTTTGAGCAATGATGAACCAGAAATTCCCCATTTCTCATGCGTAGATGATGTAATAGAATAATAAGTCCATTGTGTTGTGACATTTTAATGGAAGCAGTGTTTTCTAATCCTGATTTTTCAGGATACATTTAAAACCTCAGATGATTTTATTTTCAGTGAAATTTTGTACCAAATTTGAGCTTTATGTTAGGTTACAGGAAGTTTACTCTTGATCATTTTGAAAACATTAAAAATGTTAAATTAGGAATTACAAAATTAATATGGAGAATTTTTTAGGGCAAGATGCTTCCCAGAGTGTGAAAAATTAAATGTAAATTCTTACTGTTTTCAAAATTTAGTTACTTCATTAGTACATTTAGATAATTTGTGATTGTTGGAATCATGCATAATAATTTACTTTCTCTTATCAGTGCTGTGTTGTTGAATAAACATTAATATGATTACATCTGAGCCGAGTTTTAATGGGCATAGCATGCATGCGTGGACTGCTGATAATTTAACACTGTACACATCCTGAAATTCCCTTATTCAAGAAAGTATACAAATTAAGCAGGAGTTCAGGTATACATTGATGGATTTTGAATGTTTGAATTGATCTTTGATTAGTTTATTTGAATTCTGTTATTTTGTTTTCAGCTGATGCCTTACTTTGTGATGGATATCTTGAGTTTTCTTCCTGGTCTTCCAGGTTTATTTGTGGCATGTATGTTTAGTGGAGCTTTGAGGTAAGCATAAACTAGTAACTAAAAGCAGAAAACTGCTTCTTGCATGTAAATATTATATTGCTATATTTGTCTTGTGTTGTCACTCATTCTTATACAATCTATTTATTAGTCCCAGTTGAACGTAGTCTGAAACAGGGACTTATGTCTTGGGATCTGTCCACCTCTAGATCTGACCGTTCAACATTATTTTTTGTACTTGTGCCTTGGACCAATTTTTTGCCTTGCCTGTAATGAACTTAAAGACAAGTCATGTCTATCTGGCATTGTTCTGACATGCCCTGACTGATTATGTTGAAACGCTCTATATATATAATACATTAAGTCACACATGTACATATGTCTGTGTTTGATGGGTCAACTTCATTCAAACTTAATACATACATTGGACATTATGGGACCTTGATGCACATAAAACTTGGTATTTAAATCAGTAATAGTGTGTTACTGATGCATGTCATCTAAATAGTTGGTGCCCATTTTGGGTTTTATCCATTTTTTAATTAACTTATATGGATTTGTTATTAAAATGAAATTTAATCATCTGATTTGTGACTGATGTGCTAACATTAAAAATTAATGTAGTATTTAATTATAGTTTGTTACTAATGCACAACATTTATGTTTGATTGGATTTAAAATGACAGGTGGCCATTTTGATGTGCCCTTCTATTCAAAGTTGAATATAACTCTGTGTTCTCAAATGTTAATCCAAGTGGCATTCAGAATATAATTTATTATTATATAATTTACATCTGTCACCGTAAAGTAAGTTGCAGCCTGTCTTAATTTTGTGGTATTGCACTGGGTATTTTCATTCTACCATATAAGGAAATGCGAATTCCAAATATGGAATGATTACGTGCGTACACATCCTCTAGTAATAAAAACAAACATGGCTGCCCCCAGGGACCGGACCGGACCGGACCACACACAATGAAGTTTGCTAAATCTGTTCTAAACTTTTTGTATTTTGGAATTCCCAATGGTGTATCCCTGGGAAGAAAAGTTGTATAATATGAAAGTTATTATGAGGATACTGCAAAGTATGCACTCTGACAGTGCATGGTCGCATCAACCTCCATTGCGTGTCGGTCGACACTCCTGCTGTACTGTCTTCGTGCATACTTTGTGGTACACTCAAAATAATCTCATAATTATTACACTTCAATGAAGTGATCCATAATATTGGTAATAGTTTTAATGAATTACAAATATTTGTTTGCTTTCATTTGCTAGTACTGTCTCATCTGGGTTGAACTCACTCGCTGCTGTAACTGGTGAGGATATTATAAAACAAATATGGCCCAAAATGGATGACAATAAATACACAAAGATAACAAAAATTCTAGGTAAGGTAGACACTGTATTTTTGAGTGTTAATTGTTTAATTTTTTCATGATTTCATGATTTTATGCCATTCGGGAAAACAAAAGTCACAAAACAATTCTTACTCTGAAAAAATTTCATGATTTCACTAACTTGGAAAACTAAATATATAATATATAAATATATAAAATATTTTTTCAGATTTTCTCAGATTGCAGTTAGTATGCAAATGTTCAAGAACTAATACAACATATGTCTTCATCAATTCTTATTACTAAAAATTAAGTCCGATTGCTTTGATATTACATATATACATGTAGGTACTACATGTGGACCTCTCTCAGATTTGTTCATTTTGTGATGATATCTTCAATTCTCTAATTTTGGTGAATATTTTTGTAATTTTTGGTAAAAAGTGATATTTTCAAGTCCGATTGCTTTGATACTATACATATTGTTCATTTTCTAATGATGTCTTCAGTTCTTTAATTGAAATGTGCATTGCTAACAGCGGAGCTATCTCAGCCGACAGGCTGCTTGTATTTGTCACATATACTGTTACTATGTTCTCATTGTACACTCACCTGTGACTGTTATTTACTGCAGCTCTTTCATATGGACTCCTATGCATATTTATGGCATATATATCATCCCTAATGGGAAGTGTCTTGCAGGTAAACTTTATTATTTATTATGTTCTCTTTCTGACATACACTGTCATTTATCTTGGCTTGGACCATGACTGCTGCCAAGCTTTCTACTTTTCAAAGTCAGACATCATGACAGCTTGCTCCAGGGAGCAGAGCTAACTTGCTCTAAAGCTTCAGAAAAAGAAAAAAGAAGGAAAAAAAAACCTCACCCTTTCAAACAATGTGCTGACTTAGTAAACATTCATAGAACAACCCTACAATATTAAATTTAGTAAAAGTGAATATTTCTACTTTGAGTTTAATAAATGATATTGTCGGATCACAGATTTGATATCTTGTCTATTCCCCATATTCATTTATGAGAAGATATGTTCCATATGAACAACTTTTACATCAGTTTACATTGTTACATTTTGTAATTGACTTACCACTGCAAGACCTCACATAATGTATTGATGGCACGAAACAGACGTCTGCTGCAAAATCAAATGATTTAATGTTAGTAAAAAAATATGCACATACTGATACACACAAATAATTCATATTTGTGACATACGTCTTGTCAGATATCATCTGTGATGTACATCTTGTCAGATGTCATCTGTGATGTACACCTTGTCAGATGTCATCTGTGATTGTACGTGAGTCAGCTACAACCATGTGTTTGTCATTCAAGTCACATGATTAGCACATTTCAAAGTTATTGGTCTTCTTCTGGGATTAAATTGATTACTGATTTTCTTATGCAAACTCCTATAAGATTATATTTCTGTTTGTGTGTTTGACATGTTTCAATGATTAAATATTTGAGACAGCTATATACTCTCTTCAACATGTATTCTACAGGCAGCGTTGAGTATATTTGGCATGATTGGGGGTCCTCTACTTGGACTTTTCTCATTGGGTATGTTCTTTCCTTGGGCCAATAGTAAGGTAAGTGTTTTCTGCAACTCAGTACCATGCTACACTATCTGTTGTCAATAATGTATCTACCAAACTTGTATATTCTGCTTTATAAACAAAATTGATTAATATAAAATGAAGAATTGATGGAGGTAAAAAAATAATATTTTTTTCTGAAAATAAGGGTACATAAATGAATGGGATAATTCAATTACTGAAGCTTTTCAGGTTATTCATGTTGATCCTTCATTACGTTCACGTATAGGACTCTTACCGTAATGACACAGCTACTCAGTTTAAAATAACACTGTTAACAATTTTGTTTATTAAATAGGGTGCTGTGGTTGGACTTTTTTCCGGATTAATAATGTCATTCTGGGTTGGCATTGGAGGATTCATATACAAACCATTTGTAGAAAAACCACCACTAGAGACATATAACTGCCCTAATGAGACAGTCAGTAATATAACCACCACTACTATGCAGTATGTAAGTGGACAAACTACAGCGGCATTCAACACTATAACAACACAGGAAGCACCAGTCACTATTATACAGGATACATAGTAAGTTTATCACTGTGAATGCAGTCTTATTTACTTTAGCAGCCACTATGAGTTTAGGTTTATATGTTCACTTTATAGTTAGTAACATCTCGTAATTGTGTTTATTTGTTTGTGTACTCTGCTACTTTATTGTTACATCTAGTAATCTTATTTGGGTATTTAATTCATGTTTGCTTTATAGCCCTGCTATTGCTGACTACTACTCTATCTCTTATCTGTACTATGGTGGTGTAGCCTGGATTGCAGTGATCGTGGTGGGACTCATTGTTAGCTTCATCACAGGTAAGCTTCACTACCACATTCAAAAACGGATTAAAGATACTTTATTTGCATACCTACTGGCTGTGGACAGGCTGTGGTCTAGTTGTGCGGACTGGTTGTGCGGACTGGTAGTGAACTGTTTGTGGACTGTTTGTGAACTGGTTTTGAAGTGGTTGTGGACTGGTTGTGGACTGGTAGTGAACTGGTTTTGGACTGGTTGTGAACTGGTTTTGGACTGGTTGTGAACTGGTTGTGGACTGGTAGTGAACTGGTTTTGGACTGGTTGTGAACTGGTTGTGGACTGGTAGTGAACTGGTTTTGGACTGGTTATGTGAACTGGTTGTGGACTGGTTCTGTGGACTAGTTGTGAACTTGAATTTTAGAGGGGATATGTGGATTGGTTTTGAACTGGTGTGGATTGGCAGTGAACTGGTGTGGATTGGCAGTGAACTGGTTGTCTGGACTGGTTGTGAACTGGTTGAGAACTAGTTTTGGACTTTTAGTGAACTGGTTTTAGACTGGTTATGTGGATTGGTTTCGAACTGGTTGTGTGGATTGGTAGTAAACTGGTTGTCTGGATTGATTGTGAACTGGTTGTGGACTGGTGGTGGACTGGTTGTGAACTGGTTGTGGACTGGTAGTGAACTGGTTGTGGACTGGTTTTGGACTGGTTGTGAACTGGTTTTGGACTGGTTGTGGACTGGTTGTGAACTGGTTGTGGACTGGTAGTGAACTGGTTTTGAACTGGTTGTGAACTGGTAGTGAACTGGTTTTGGACTGGTTATGTGAACTGGTTGTGTGGACTGGTTGTGGACTGGTTGTGAACTTGAATTTTGGAGGGGATTTGTGGATTGGTTTTGAACTGGTGTGGATTGGCAGTGAACTGGTTGTCTGGACTGGTTGTGAACTAGTTGTGGACTGGTAGTAAACTGGTTGAGAACTAGCTTTGGACTGGTAGTGAACTGGTTTTAGACTGGTTATGTGGATTGGTTTCGAACTGGTTGTGGACTGGTAATGAACTGGTTTTGGACTGGTTGTGAACTGGTTTTGGACTGGTTGTGAACCTCGTTGTGACTGGTAGTGAACTGGTTTTGAACTGGTTGTGAACTGGTTGTGGACTGGTAGTGAACTGGTTTTGGACTGGTTATGTGAACTAGTTGTGTAGACTGGTTGTGGACTGGTTGTGGACTGGGTCTGTGGACTGGTTGTGGACTGGTTCTGTGGACTGGTTGTGAACTTGAATTTTGGAGGGGATAACCCCCATAGACATTTATTCTGATCACAAGAAGTGTTCACACCAATATGTCTTTGTACTACATGTATGTTGTAACAAAATGAAATAGATCATGATAATAACATAATTATAAGATGTAATTTGTGCATAACTCTACCCATGTTGAATTACTGATGCACATCATTTAATTTTGTGTATAACTTCCAGTTTGACTTTCGATACTAATCTGTAATGGGGATTGATGTCATTTCATGACTGTTTTTTAAATAGGGCCAACAAAACCTGAAGAAGTTGATCCAAAGACAATCAGTCCTTTGGCTGATAAATGTTGTTGTTGCTTATCTGCCAGCACTCGTGAGACATTATACTGTGGTGTTCAGTTCAAAGTGGAAGAAGAGGAGAAAAAATATAGTCTTGATAACAAACCAAACATAGCTGTAAGTAATAATGTTTTTATACAAATAAATATCTAACTGCATTCGTAATGACATAATTACACTTGAAACAACCAATCAGTGACATATTACAGTTCAAACAGCCAATCAATCACATATTACAATTCAAACAGCCAGTCAATCACATATTACAATTCAAACAGCCAGTCAATCACATATTACAATTCAAACAGCCAATCAATCACATATTACAATTCAAGCAGCAAATCAATCACATATTACAATTAAAACAGCCAATCAATCACATATTACAATTCAAACAGCCAATCAATCACATATTACAATTCAAACAGACAAACAATCACATATTACAATTCAAAAGGCCAATCAATGACACATTGCAATTCAAATAACCAATCAATGACATATTACAATTCAAACAGCCAGTCAATCACATATTACAATTCAAACAGCCAGTCAATCACATATTACAATTCAAACAGCCAATCAATCACATATTACAATTCAAACAGACAAACAATCACATATTACAATTCAAAAGGCCAATCAATGACACATTGCAATTCAAATAACCAATCAATGACATATTACAATTCAAACAGCCAATCAATCACATATTACAATTCAAACAGCCAATCACTCACATATTCCAATTCAAACAGACAATCAATCACATATTACAATTCAAACAGCCAATCAATCAATCACATATTACAATTCAAAAAGCCAAGCAGTGACACATTACAATTCAAACAGTCGTGCAGTGACTTATTATAATTCAAACAGCCAATCAATGACACATTGCAATTCAAACAGCCAATCAATCAATCACATATTACAATTCAAACAGCCAATCAATGACACATTACAATTCAAACAGCCAAGCAGTGACTTATTACAATTCAAACAGCCAATCAATGACACATTGCAATTCAAACAAGCAATCAATGACATATTACAATTCAAACAGCCAATCAATCAATCACATAATACAATTCAAACAGCCAATCAATGACATATAACAATTCAAACAGCCAATCAATCACACATTACAATTCAAAAAGCCAATCAGTGACTCGTTACAATTCAAAAAGCCAATCAATCACATATTACAATTCAAACAGTCAATCAATGACACATTACAATTCAAAAAGCCAATCAATGACATATTACAATTCAAACAGTCAATCAATGACATATTACAATTCAAACAGTCAATCAATGACATATTACAATTCAAACAGTCAATCAATCACACATTACAATTCAAAAAACCAATCAATGACACATTACAATTCAAACAGCCAATCAATCGCATATTATAATTCAAACAGCCAATCAATCACATATTACAATTCAAACAGCCAAT